AGTTGGGATGCCAACCATCAAGCAGTTGAAAATTCAAGTACAACCTTTGATTTCCTAAAAACTCAGCTGCCCCTTAGTATCTGTGGGGACTGATTCCAGGAACCCCGGCAAATACCAAAATCTAGGGATAAGTCCCCTCATAAAGCATTGTAGATAAATACATAGAATGGCCCTTTACATCTGAAACAGTACAGGCATTCATTGCAAAAACACACAAAACCATATATAAGTGGACCAGTGCACTTCAAACTGTTATGTTCAAGGGTCAGCTGTATTAGCATTTGATTATGTACAGTAAAATATAAAAGAAACATATCAAGCAGTAAATTTTATAACTGTACAAACTGAAAAATAGAAAACCAGAGGAAGGCAGTAGAATATCAATATAGTGTTCACTTCAATTTTCATACAATTCTGAGGCTCTCATAGATAGCTATCATCACTAGCCTTCATTATTGTTTTATCACAGCTTGTAGAAAGCACACTTATATCAAGAATCAGAGCAATACTAACAAGAATAAAATTATGGAATACAGCCAGATTATCACTATATGCTGAAGTGATTATTTTCACAACTCTCGGTGGGGCTTAACAATTTGGAGAATGGACAATAAATAGCAGGATATACAAGAGCTGCTGAACAGCTCACTGAATGAAGCAGGGCAATAGCAAGCAGAACTCACCAAAGAAAATTAATCTTTTTAAGGATGCTAACTAAGAAACTGCTATCTGGATACCATATAAAGAATGAAATGCACGAGGAAGTAAAGGACAGTATAAGAAATATAGTGAAAAATATTGTAATAACTATGTATTGTAACAGGTGGGTCCTAGACTTATCAGAGATTTCATAAGTTATATAACTATCTAACCATTATGTTGAATGCTTGAAACATTGAATGTCAACTGTAATTGATTTTTTTTAAACAAAAGTAAGAATGAAATTGCTCTTTTGTGACCAAAGGCAACAGGCCTGTGACAACTTGGAAGGCAATAACAAGCTTACGTGTGTGTGTGTGTGTGTGTGTGTGTGTGTGTGTGTGTATACATATGTTGACTATGAACTACAGATCCCACAAGAGTCAGTCATCCAACTTCAATGGAGGGTGTCATTAAAAAAAAAACAAAAAACAACCAGATGAGTTTGTGTATTATTTTTCAGATTTATATACTTCCCAAAACATCTTACAAACAAGCATATTTAAACATAACATAGTATTTAAACTGAATCCATCTAATAGAAGTACTTGAAGAAATCAGAGATGAGTATATTACAACTTCTCTTACAAATCTGACTGAAGTCTCTTTTTGTTAAACTGAAGAGGAAAATGTAGTTACATAGTTTCCATTTTCAACCGAACAGAAAGCATACATATTTTTTTTGCACAAAAAATTTTTCCTTGGAGCTAAACTAAGCAGAAATTTATGTCAATCTCGTGTGTAAAAGTCAATCTGTAACACATGGAATAGTATTAACTATATTTTAAAGGAGATATCAAGACAAATTGGCCGAAACCGGTTTGGCTCAGTGGTAGAGCATTGGTCTGCGGACTGAAAGGTCCCGGGTTCGATTCCTATCAAGGGCATGTACCTTGGTTGCGGGCACATCTCCAGTAGGAGGTGAGGCAGCTGGTCGATGTTTCTCTCTCATTGATGTTTCTAGCTCTCAATCTCTCTCCCTTCCTCTCTGTGAAAAATCAATAAAATATATTTTTTTTAAAAAAAGACAAATTGATAAGGCAATTTCCTAATTGAAAATTTGAAATTAAAGATTTCCTAATTATATAAAACAGAAGGTATAAAAATAAGCTACAATTTAAGTGCAACATGTATGCAAAAGGCTGAGAAAACATAATTCAAAAACATGGATATTTTGGTTAACCATAAGCTAACAAAAGTAAAATCTTAATCTGGATAGCTATTTAACATAGGTATTATAACCATGATTGCCCACTGCCTTTGTATTAGAATCGCCTGTGATTGTTAGCTTAGATTAAGTTTAAAAGCTTTCCAACAAGTGTCTGAAATGCAGCAGTTCCATATTGTTGATTAAAGAGTGCCCCCAATAGGTATGATTCATGAACTAAAAGATATAATTTAGTAAGGGTGAATTCTATACAGTAGCAATTTAGTAAATATTATCTTTCTACCTTCCAGAGGCGAGAAATGAAAGCTGGCATTATCATGTGGAAAGTAGAGAGGCATACTTATATTTTTGTCCAGAGAAGATGAGGCTAACATGATAGTCAAAATTCTTTCAGGTTCAGTCAGTAACATCATATTTTATTAAGAACTTAAAATAGATATATAAAGTCTAACTACAGTAGCTAGCCGTTATCTTTAGGAAATTAATGTGCTTCAAAGTAACACAATTAGGTACATTAATTTATAATAACAAATAGCATTTATTTAGTATAATTTCAGAAATCCATAACAAGGTTATTTGTAAAGGGAATATTTGATAAGAATGCCCTCATCTTGGTAATTGACAAGAATGTGTTTATAATTGATAAGAATAAGTAATTGATAAGATTGCATTTATCTTGTATTATCAAAATAATGACAGAATTTTGAGTTCCAAAAGAACTTACAGATTTGCTAGATCAACCCTGTTATTTAAAAAGATGTGCTGGCGGGTAGGAACCGTAGTTAGCATAATAAATGCAGGTGGTCCATCAAAAGGTTGATGGACACCTTCAGCAGGGATGAAGATCTGCACACGATTGCTACCCCAACCTGATAGTCCTTTATCGTTTACCAGGCCTTACCTTTGATATGTGTATCTGCTTTGCTAGGGGGCAAATGTGTGACTAAAAAGCCCTGGGTGCGGAGATTGGAGGAGCTTAGTCACTAGAACTAACTTTCCGTGGGGCCCTCCAAAATGCCTTCCAAATTCGTATTTCTTGTCTAGTCTCTTTAATCCACTTATGTACAGGCCCTTTTCCAGATTCCTGAACCCTTGTAGATGCTGAGAAAGATCCCGGCAAAGATGAGAAAACTGCAGACCAAGAAAGTTAAATGATACAACCCAAATCATTACCTGAGGCAAGGCCTTGAGAGCCTGGACCTCCTGCCTTGGAGTACTTTTCCTTTTTCTAACAGACTATGCTGCCCCCAGTGGTTCTAAATCCTCTGGCTTGGATGACATTACTGGTCTCTCTGGTTTTCTTTACCTCCTATTCTGAACCACAGCTGTCATCTGTGACTTACCCATAAATTTCCAATCTGTTCTCTTAATGGTTTTATCCTGAGTACTGTGTCAATCCTCAGCTTTCTAAATTTCAGACTAATAAACAGAGGTTTGACAAAATGCCTGAAACAAATGCAGAATATACATAATCAAACCAAAGAAAAATTCTCTCCTGGATAATGTGATCTCCAAATTAAAAACAAAAAAAAATTTAATGAGCAACTCTGCTATGCAAGGTCTCTGTTAATTGCAGGGATAGGAAGCAGAGTAAGATATGGTCCTTGTGCTTATAGCCTAGTGAAAACAATTAAGGGTAAACCAACCATTACACAGTGCTTGTTAAGGACTCCAAACAAGGGATGGGCAGGTGGGAATTAGCTAGGAGGAAATCTAATTTAGAATGATGGGCTCAGCTGACAATTTCCCAATGAGGCCCTCAAGAGCAATAGGGAAAAAATGCCAGTATCACCCATATTTATCCAAGTCCAACATGAATCAAAAGAGACATAGAAACTTCAATTTATTCAGGGGTTTTAAAGAAAGAAAGAAAATTGTGTGTGCTCTATTTTTCAACGGAAAAGAACAAGCTTTCACCTTGGCCAGGTGGCTCAGTTGGTTGGAGCATCAAAAGGTTGCTGGTTCAGGAGGCAATAGACCCAGATGGAAGTTTCTCTCTCACCTGGATGTTTTCCTCTCCCTCTCTCTCTCTAAAATAAATAAATAAATAAAAATATATCCTTGGGTGAAGCTTAAAAAAAGAAAAGGACCTGTTTCGTTGTGGCTATATAACAAATACAGAACTCCAATCATTTAATGAAATTTTAAATCACTATTTTTAAAACCAAAGAAGAAAAATGCGCCTAAAACCTGTCTAGTTAATACTCCTTCGCGAGAACTCTCTCCAAAGCTGCACACTAAATGCTCCTCAAAATTACAGGGGGGAAATCTCATCAGGTAGAAGAGAAATAAGGACCAACCGGCGCCTTCACCCTTCCCTCGGGGTGAGGATCGCTCAGATCCCCAGGCTGTGCCTTTGGGCGGGAAGGTTCAGACCAGACAAGCTCTGCGGGCACTTGTATTTACATTTTTAAGCAAGGTAGGGGGGTGGGGGTTGCGGAGAGGGAGTCCCGAGAGTAGGGGAAAATCGTGGAAAAGATAAGGCTGTAAGAGGATGGAAAAGAGAGAAAAGGGGTGGACTAGAATCCAAAAACCAAAGCCAAACAAACGGGCCGATGGAAGAAAGACAGGAGAAGAGTTGGGGAAAGAGCGGTGGAGGGAGAGGGAGGCAGGGAGGAAAGGGAAGGGGGAAAGGGAAGGGGGATGGGAAGGGAAAGGGGAAGGGGAAGGGGAAAGGGAAAGGGAAAGGGAAAGGAAAAGGGAAGGGGAAGAAGAGAGGGAAAGGGGAAAGGGAAGGAGAAGGGAAAAGGGAAAAGGGAAAAGGAAAGGGGAAGGGAAGCGGAAGGGGAAAGGGGAAGGGAAAGGGAAAGGAAAAGGGAAGGGGAAGAAGAGAGGGAAAGGGGAAAGGGAAGGAGAAGGGAAAAGGGAAGGGGAAGGACTGTCTAAGAAAACGGTCGGAGAGGAAATGCGGGAGCCGAGAAAGCCAGGGGCTGGGGAGGAATGAATCCGGACGGGAACACCCGGGCAGCGGGGCGGAAGAATCGGGGCGAGGGAGCGCCTCCTTTTTACCAGCCTCGGCGTCCCAGGGAAGGCAGGCAATCGGCGCCGCCGGGAGGACGAGCCCGCGGGCGGACAAGGTCCGGCGGCCCGGCCTCGCCTCCCCCGGGCGCGGGGCGGGGCGGCGGCCGCTTACCTGGACAGGGAGCCCGCGCTGGGCGGCCGCGCCGCCGCCGGGGACTCCAGGCTCTCGCAGCTCGAGCTCCTCTCCATGGCGCGGCGGGCGGGCGGGCGGAGCGCCTCCGCGGCGGCCGGGCGGAGGGCGGGGGGCGGAGTGCCGGCGGGACCCGCGGTCAGGCCGGCGCCGGCCCCGGCGCGAGACCGGAAGCGGCCATGTTCCCCCAGAGTGCACCGCGCGGGCTGCCGGGCGGAGGACCCCCGGCGCCCCCGGGCGCGCCGGGAGGGGGCGGCTCCCGCGCGGGGCTCCGGGCGGCGGGGGCACCGGGAGCCTGTGGAAAGGGAGCGCCTGTTAGAAATGGAGAGAATGAAGGGAACTCTAGGGGCTCAAGCTCCTGGACCTGAGGGAGGAGGAGGGCCGGCCGGAAGGTGGAGGTGAGCGAGAGGACAGCTTAACGGGACGGTGACTAGACGTCCCGCTTTTGGCGGGACAGTCCCGATTTCTAACAATCTGTCCCGCGTCCCACGGCGTTTTAAAAAAGTCCCGATTTTTTTCCCCAAAGAATCGGGACTTTCTTAAAGCGCCGCGGGACAAGTTGTTGAAAAGCGGGATGTCTGGTCACCTTAGTTAACGGGACGCGGGCGAAGGGCAGGATGTTAGGGGGACAGCGGTCAGGTGCGGGGGGGGGGGCAAGAACGGGATAGAATCGGAGCAATGAAATGAGCAAGATGTTGGCCAGAGCAGGGCCTGAGAAGAATGATTAAAGATTGAAGTGGTGCCGAAACCGATTTGGCTCAGTGGATAGAACGTCATCCTGCAGACTGAAGGGTCCCAGGTTCAATTCCGGTCAAGGGCCTGTGCCTTGGTTGCAGGCACATCCCCAGTGGGGGGTGTGCAGGAGGCAGCTGATGTTTCTCTCTCATCGATGTTTCTAACTCTCTATCCCTCTCTCTCCCTCTCTGTAAAAAATCAATAAAAAAAATTTGCCGACCACTGGCCTAGAGCCATCCTTAGCACACAGTAGGCACGCGAAGGCTAGCTGTTTAGCATCACGACCCACTTCCTAAAGGTTGCTGAGGTGGGATGGACTAATGTATATAATAAATAGTTTGTGACACAACTTCAAGAAAAATGGTAATCGCAGGAGGGGAAGATACAGGGAGGGTGGGCAGGGGAGTGAGAAGTGACTGGTAAGGGAAGGGTAATGGCGGGGGGGGGGGGGGGGGGGGGATGGGACCTGTGGGGAGAGAGGGTAACAATGCTCATCTCTCTACATCCACCCACCGCTGGCCAGCATTGTGGAAAAGGCACCAGGACAGAAGCTGGAACTCTCAGTTCTCCTGTGCTTTGGAGGGAAGTCTGCGGGGTCTGGGAGTGTCTGTGGGGGAAAAGCACTTTGCCATTCATCTGTTGCTACACAAGAGGTGCGGAAAGGAAAAACGGATGAAGATGTACAAGAATTAGACACATTTTATGGAGTGCATCCCTCCCTGCCCTCTCAGACTTCCCTGCAGGGCAGGAAGGGAGGGCAAAGGATAGAACTGTGATAAGAGCACAGGAACTGAGGGGACAGGAAATGCTTCTGCTGGTAATTTTCTGTAACAGAGGACACAGGAAGGACATGGACAGGATACCACAAAAGAATTTTTCTGATTGAGGCTGAGTCCCAATCACTTCACGTACGGTGCAGAAAATGTGCAAAAATTGTTTCTGCAAAAAAATATTTCCACAATCGTTTTAAAAAAAATCAAAACACTTCCTTGCTAGGATAAATACAATTATGTTGATTTAAACTAGATTAAATTTATACTGAAAACATGTTTTTAAGAAAATCTTAACGTATAGGACCAGTGAATTATTAACGTGCAAGTATATTCCCCAAAAGAACATCCTAGCCTAGTTGTGTTCAGCATAACGTGCAAGTAAATTCCCCAAAAGAACATCCTAGCCTAGTTGTGGAGCACTTACTAAAATAAATTAATGTAAGCATAAAAGGCTTAGCCTTTCTGTACCATTCTCCAGCTTGGCAAGGACAAGGCGACAGCTGATGTTTATTATTTCTATAATTTTTAAAGAAAATTTAACTGCCCTCTGATAGTCAAAGAGAGCAAGTAGTCGGAAACACTTAAGCATAATCATCTACATTGATTGGTAAATAATTTGCTTATTACGTCCTCATCTCTACCTGCCTTCCAAAATATGGACTCACTGTCTCTTGATACGTTGCCAGATTTTCCAAGCTAAGTTTGGTGAAGAATGATGAATCCTTGAATAGAAGACCCACGTGCTCTCTATTAGTCAATTCATTTCTAGCTCTATCAATAGAGTACTTGAAACTGTAAGCAGACAATCAACGGGTCCATGCTTCCTATCACTACTTGAGCCAATTAAGCAGAGACAGAGTATAACCATAAAAGCATTTATTCCAATACTGCCGACAGTATGGGAGAGCAAGAGGTCATCAACAAAAATCTATGCACCCACCGTAAGTCAGCTGCTTACAGTGGGTAGAAGGACAGAGATTACATGGGAAGTAGGCAAAAGGCAATGCCAAATGGGCAGTTACAGGTAATGCAGGCTGGAGATTTGTAAAGGCCTTTGGGTATGTAAAGGCCTGAGTGTCTTCAAAGGGCTGGCAACTCTGATTTCTGCAACAAGGTGGTTAATCTTTCCCTGATAATAGGCAGTTCCTAAATGAGGAGGATGGGCCATATTTCCAGGTGAGCTCCCAGATCCCATGTGCGTGCAACCCCTAGCCTGGTTAGAATGAGCTTTCTTTAATGAGGACAAAACAATCACGGTTAACAGAGCATGATTAATATTTCTTACAATTATAACTGGTCCCCAATATACTATTTCTACTCATATCAAAACCGTCTGCCTGATGATGTAATAATTTACATATGGGCCAATCTGGTAGTGAATAAAGAACCAGGAGAAGGAGAAGGAGAAGGAGAAGGAGAAGGAGAAGGAGAAGGAGAAGGAGAAGGAGAAGGAGAAGGAGACGACAAAGAAGAAGAAGACGACAAAGAGGGAGAGGGAGAGGGAGAAGGAGAGGGAGAGGGAGAACGAGAGGGAGAGGGAGAGGCAGAGGGAGAGGGAGAGGCAGAGGGAGAGGGACAGGGAGAGGGAGAAGAAGTCAAAATATCCCTGACTGGTGTGGCTCAGTTGATTGGAGCATCATCCTATACATCAAAAGTTGCCGGTTTAATTCCTCATCAGGGCACATACCCAGGTTGTGGGTTCAATCCCTGGACAGGGTGTGAGTGGGAGCCAATTGATGTTTCTCTAAAATTGGTATTTCTCTATCTCCCTTCCTGTCTCTATAATAAAATTGAAAAGGTGTCAAAATAATATATCCACAAAAACATCTCTCAAGGATAATGGTGAAATAAAAACATGTTTAGATGAAGGACAACTAAGAGAAAATATTGCTAGCAGACACACACTACAAAACATGCTAAAGCAAATTCTGGCTAAAAGAAATGAAACCAAAGAAAACCTGGTCATTTAAGATAGATAAGAATGGTAGCTCTGGCCAGGTGGCACAGTTGGTTGGAACATTTTCCATATTTCCAAAAGAAAAAAGAAAAAGGTTGTGAGTTTGATTCCTGATCAGGGCACATTCCTAGATTATGGGTTGGGTCTGGGAGATAACCGATCTAATCGATGTTCTCTCTCTCTCTCTCTCTCTCTCTCTCTCTCTCTCTCTCTCTCTCTCTCCCTCCCTCCCTCCCTCCCTCCCTCCCTCCCTCCCCATTCCACTTTCTTTTCTCTCTAAGATCAGTAAACATCCTAGGGTGAGAAAAAAAAAAATTTAAATGGAAAATATCTGGGTAAATAAATACAATTTTTCCTCTTAATTTCTTTTTTAAATGTTATCTTCTCTTTTAAATATATTTTTAAATATATTTTTATTGATTTCAGAGAGGAAGGGAGAGGGAGAATAAGCAAGAGACATAAATGATGAAAGAGAATCATTGATTGGCTGCCTCCTGCATGCCCCCTACTGGGGATTGAGCTTGCAACGCAAGCATGTGCCCTTATTACATCCTCTATCCACTGAGCCAAATCAGCTAAGGCTCCCTCTTAATTTCTTTAAAATACATTTGAGTGTTAAAAGTAAAACTCATAACATTTTCTGGTGGATTTTATAATGAAAGCATATATACTATATATGAAAATCAGAGCTTAAAGATTGTCAAGGGTTCATTGTAAATGAAAGTATATAATTGCTAAGTTTCTATTTTCTGTGAAGTGGTTCAACATGAATTCTAAGCAATCTTACTGTTAGGCATTATTATTACTATATAAAGGGGGAACATTTTCTAAAGATTTGAAAGTTTAAACATCTCAAAGTCACATGAAGCGGAATAGGGATTAGAATTTAGATCTACTTAACTCTGATGCCCATCCTTTTAATCCCTATGCTGTGATTCCTCATGAATAATTTATAAAATTCTCACAACCATGAGCTGAATGTTCATTGAGGACTGGAAACAAAATTCCCTCTGCCTTAGTATATTTTTATGGGCTTCTTGGTCAAATTTATCTTTAGCCGGTAATCCCCTAAAACTCACCCTGTAAGTAAGGACCCTCCTCCAGCTTTCTACGAAGCAAATACTGGTAGGAGTGGCAGTTTATATTATTGTATTAAGTCATTGCAACCTGTGCATTTTTTTTCAAAAAAGAATAAAAAGACTATATTTCACACATTACCATAAGTGGATCAGTGTCTCCCAGGCTCTTCTGCAAGGCAGAAAATTAGTGTCCATCCAGCATCAAGGAATGGCAATGATTTCCTGGGTATGATACAAAAGCACAGGCAGGCAACAAAAAGAAACATAGATAAATGATACTATGTCAAACCTAAATACATTTCAGCTGCAAAGGATACAATCACTAGAGTAAAAAGACAATGTATGAAATGGGAGAAAATATTTACAGATCACATATCTGATGGGACTTGTATCTAGAATACATAAGGAATACTTAACAATTCAATAACAAAAAAGTCAAATAACCGTATTAGAAAATGAGCAGAGAACTTGAATGGGCCTTTCTCCAAAGATGATATACAAATGGGAAGCATATG